ATTATTATAGCAGATATTATAGTTACTATTAAACTGACACCAACAGATCAACTACTTGAAATGGTGTGCAAATTTCACCATTAACAATTGCAGGTGCTATTCAAACAATGTTCTATGAACACTGCCTGCTAAAACATGCATTTCAAATATAGCAGGAATCGGTTCTGATTCCTGAATAAATTAAAGCAAGATAAAAAGTGTTGGCAACCTGCATTTGGAAATTAAGGGTGGTACCTTCTTACTACCATTCTAGTAGATCAATTAAACTGGCTACAAGTTAATGCAAGCCTCTGAAGCCTCTGGGGAAAAAGGGCTAATCATGCTTTAAGAAAGAGACAGTGTTGAAATAATACAAGAATCAGATCCTCTTGGGATTAGTATAGAACAGAGTAGATGCCAGCCACAAACCAAGCTTTGAATGCCAAGAAGTTATTAGAATGTCCATATCCTTTTCGAGCGTTCAGAACATTATGTACTCATTTTCTCAACAGTCCTTATGACGACAGTATAAAATGATTAGATACTGTAATCCCTGATTTCCTTTAAGATAAATTGAGCTCTGTACCATACATATAAACATGCACATATCTTGTCCCAAAGGTGCTTTTTCAAGAGACAACTGGACTTTGTTTTTCTCTGAAGATGTTTTGCTTCTCATCCAAGAAGCTTCTTCAGCTCTGACTGAAGAAGCTTCTTCCCCATTGTCCAGTCAGAACTGAAGAAGCTTATTGGATGAGAAGTGAAATGTCTTCAAAGAAAAACAAGAAAGTCCAGTTGCCTCTTGAAAAAGCACCTTTGAGACAACTATGACCTGGATGACTAATAATCTCCATACACATACACATATCTTGTCTCTTTGTAGAGATAATCTTGCTTTCTCCATAACCAGTTGAAACTATGATTAAGTCTGTCCAAATATTGTGAAATTAATTAACTGTGAGCATCCTAGATCAAGCCAAGACCAAAACCACTAGAGAATTCCTCTGAAGCCTGGCACTCAGACAAATTGGCAATCAACAGGCATGCCGAGATAAACAACATCTACATACCATTCAAAAGAGACAATCAACAAGTCAAAAAGGAAACAAAAAGGCCCAAACATCTCCTCACCAGCAATCAACAACCAGATGAGCAAAGATTAACACCAAGATTAACACTAGACCAACTATCAAGAAGCAAACAATGCCCTAATCAGACAAAGAAGCTAACAATTAACAACAGTACAATCAAGGAACCACCAAGACCTCTTCCACCAACAGTGACAGAGAGCAAGCCACTATATAAAATGACAGTAAACCCACTCCCTACTAGCACTGATGATATTACCTAGTTTAGTAATGAAACATCAATTAACAATCAAACAACCAGAATACCAAGGACCCCACAGTTCAACCCTGAGATACAAATATTCTCTTTTATCAGCATAATTGATTTAATCAGCAATGAAGCCAACTGAAGATCTCACTGGTCTCCCAAGACCCCCAGGCCTGATGACAAAGCAAGGTCTTGAAGAACTTCCAAAAAATAAGGATGGATGGAGCTGATCTCACTTTAGTGGGGGTGGAAGAGATAAATGTTCCATAAGGCAGATACCCCAGCAGAGAAGGTCTGCCTCTGTGGGACTGGCAAGCTTAGTTCTCTGAAAGATGGGACCTGCTTCTCTTGCAGGATCTGATAAGACAAGCAATCGGGGAGAGGTGGTCCTTCAAAAAAAACGCATCTTTAACCCATCAAAACCAGCCCTTGAATTGAATCTTGAAGCAAAGTAGCAACCAATGCAGCTCATGGAGGTGTCATGAATTTGTTCTAGCAGAACACATAACTGCTTGTGGGACTGCATTTTGTACCAGTTGAAACTTCTGGATACTGTTCCAAGGGCAGAGCCCTCCAATCCAGGTAAAGGTATAACTGGTGCACGCCTAGTCATGATTGTCACCTCCTCTTTGAGCATGAGTTCTGAGTCCAGGAGGACTCCCAAGGTGTACACTGGGTCTGTCTGCAGCAGAGCCACCCCAGTCAGAACAAAAAATGACACAGTTCTAGGACCAGTAGGTCCCGAAGCCCAAAGTTACTAAGTCTTGTCAGGGTTCAACTAGATTTAGTTTGTTCCCCATCTAGATCTTCACAGCCTCCAGACACCAGTAATGTGCCAGGGGCAGATATGTTGCAGGTAATTTCACAAAATCATTGCTGGAACAGGGAGAAATGTTTATTCACAAAATAGTTTTTGCAATAGATACAATAACAGTCCGTTCGTTAACCGGAATGTTAACTAGAAGTTGTTCCTTATCATCCATTTTCACTCCTGAAGATGGTCCTTGCCAAATTTCAGATTTCTGGGCAGGAGAACAATTTCAAACAATCGCTAGATTGCAATTATGCATAATTTTTATTTTTTGAGAATGCCTATGCAACTCATATCCCAGTGGTATTCATAGAAATACAGATAATGCTGGAGGGTTGAATTTTGGAGAATACTAGTTTATTATTATTATTTTTAAAAAAGATTAGAGCCTGATGGATATGAAGGGAGCTATCCATGCATATATCCATTCCTATAGGCAGCTCCACCCCAACCCAGAATATTGAACCCATTCACCAGGAAGTCTATCCCCAGTATTTGAAATATGTGGGTGTGTGAGAGTAAAAATGCTGTTATATGTCATGCCCCTGTCAGAATCTGATTCCAAGGGGGAGGCTGAGCAGCTGACAGTGGGAATGTGGTTCCGTTGGCTGTGGAAGAAACTGGGGAAGGGCAAAGTCCGACTGGCCAGAGCAGGGGAGAAGTAGACCAAGTGAGAGGGAATTCAGAGGAAGATCCAGGCCCACCTCCTCTTCATCCTAGGGCACGCAGGGAGGAATGGAGAAGGGAGCAACATGAGTTGGGTGGCTTATGGGGGAGAAAAGGGCCCTGATTCCCTTCATTAGCTGCAGCTGGAAACACAGTGTTTAAAAGGGGAAATTGTGCACAGCAACTTCTTGGAAGCAAATCGTGAGTTATTGTTGAGGCTTATCTGGGTTCCTGGCGTCTTCCCAACTGTGTGGGTTTTGCTGGCCTTTCAAGTCTGGAATTCCTTATCTTGCCTGTCAAATTAATTACTGCAGTGTGGTTTGTGTGGATTTTTATTTACAGTTTGTATGTACTTTGTTTTCAGACTGAATTTCCTCCACTTAAAGATTGTTTTTGGGAGAGGTTTTTTTTTCCCCAGCAGAAGGTAACCTGGACATTGGGGGAAAAGTTGGAGGTATTAAAGGGACTCTTCCTTATGTGTCTGTGTTGCCTTTGTGCCACCCCCCCATCACATTATAGTATTGAGGGGATGTTTGTTGCTTTCTTTTCCAATGGTTTACAGTTACATTTCAGAAACATCATTTTAAATCTGTCACACTACCCTGGAGCAAATCTGCCTTAGAGGCACTGGAAAATTTAATAAAGCAATTTTTAGCTATTAGCTAATGTGCTAATTGAACATGTATACATATAACTTATATATATTCCTGACAAGTACCTAATGAATTGTTCTTAAAGTACAGGTGGTCCTCAACTTACAAAAATTCGTTTAGTGACTATTAGAAACTACAACATCACTGAAAAAGTAACGTATGACCATTTTTCACACTTATGACCATCGCAGCATCCCATGGTCACATGATCAAAATTCAGATGCAACTGACCCGCATTTATGATGATTGCAGCATCCTGAGGTTGTTTGATTACCTTTTACAGCCTTCTGACAAGCAAAGTCGATGGGAAAGCCAGGTTCTCTTAACAACCCTGTTAGTAATTTAACAACTGCAGTGATTTACTTAACAACTGGCAAGAAAGGTCATAAAATGGGGCAAAACTCACTTAGCACATTTCTCACTTAGCAACAGAAACTTTGGGCTCCCTTGTGGTCGTAAGTCGAGGACTACCCGACTATTGCCCTGTGCAAATCAACGGACAGCAAAATCTCACGTAGTTAACTTCCCATAGTTCCTAATATAGCCCCTATATCTTTTAATCCTATTAGTTTCAAGGCGCATGAAACGGAAAGGTCGGGTCTTCTCCCCTTCTAAGCCAGCGGCGAGAGTAGAATGGAAACGTAAACAGGAAAGCCCCTTTTTGCGCGTGCAGGGATGGTCCGGTTGCTCCCGCCGGGTTCTCGCCCAGCCAACGGCACGTGGCTCCGCGGCAAGCGGGGCCAGGCGAGCCCCCGAGCCGAGCCGTCCAATGAGGAGCCCGGGATGGAACCAAGCCTTCGAGGGGGCGGGGCCCTCGGTTCGGAGGGCGCCTACCTTCTTCGGATCATGTGAGCAGAGAGCGAGAGCGCGAGGCGGAGTGGGGGAAAAGCCCGGGCGTCGTGGCGGTCGGCGAGGGTAAGGGAGTCACAAGCGGGGGGGGGGGGGGGGGGGGGGGGGGGGGGGGGGGGTTGGGCGGGGAGGCGCGCGAGCCGGCCACGGGAGAGGAGGCAAGGGGGACGGGGCCGCGGGTTGCAGGGAGCCGGCTGCGTTTTCAACCGAGGAGGTCGCACCGCGTTGTTGCTGCAAAAGGGCCACTACGGGAGGGCTCTGGAATTGGGAAGGCGCGCGCGAGGAACGCACGAGCAAGCCGCGCGTGAACGGAGCGTCTTCCAAGACGTAGTTTCGCTGCTTCTCTGCCTCAGACTAGCTGGGTTGGAGGCGGATTCCCCAGCAAGAGCCGCTCTTTTTATTTTACTTGCCGGGGAAGCAAAAACTTCTGAAAAACGGGTCTGGTTCTTTCTTTCTTTCTTTCTTTCTTTCTTTCTTTCTTTCTTTCTTTC